TCAAAATTTAAAAGGGGCAGGGGGAGGCTGGGGTATAGCTTGGTGGTAAAGCATCCCAAGGTTCAAACCCCAGTATTACACCAAAAAAAAAAAAAGCAGCTAGAATATTGAAAATACAGAATAAAAAACAAAAGAAATGAGAAACAGCTAAGAATCCAAATGGTCTCATTTTCTAGGAAAGTATTTTTTATAAATGTGCCTTCATGCAAATGAAGGTGGTAAATTTAAGTGAAATGGTAACATAAAGTTGACTTAGTTACCGAGGAATGGAATGTTCCAATGAACCAAAACACTTTGAAATTTATGTTATTAAATAAGAAGGCTTTCACTTTAGGAGGAAAATCAAGAAACAGGAATTGAATAAGCTCTTAAACTTACTCAATCTACCATCTTCCATCTCAATTTCTCTACTAAAAAAGCATAAACTGAAAACACTCTTAAAGATAAAAACACCCCACATTCCAAAACCATTCATTGAGTAGCAAGCAATTTACTACAAACGCTCCAAAATCTTAAAACAAAGAGTCAGAGGCTGAGGATACAGAAAAGTGGTAGTCTGCAAGGCCTTATGTTTAATCCCTAGTCCTGTCCTCACCTCCCCAAAAAACTAGTTATGATAATAAAGCTAAAACAATCCCAAACCCTGTGTAATCTGTTGCATTAACATCTAGCCTACCATTTTCAGCAAGATAAGTAAGACCCATAAAGAAAAGTATCATGTTTTCTCATATATGGAAGCTGGGATGGGAGGGGTAGAGATGCAATGAAAGTAAAGGGGAGATCATTAGAGGAGAGGCAGATAGGGGAAGGAGGAAAGCTGGGAGATACTGGGGAGTAAAATGATAAAATTATGTTTTTATGTATGTATGAATATGCCACAATGAATTCTACCATTCTGTATAACTAATATGTAAATAACAAACCTCTGACCTACTTTGTACTCTGAATGTACCTTTTAACCAGGTATGACTTTATTACATCATGACTGTCATTTGGAAAATAATGAATTCACTGAATTCCAAATACTTACACACATTATGCAACATCAAAAAACCTACATCCATTAATACCATCACTACCTGGACACAGTGGCAAATGCCTTTAATCTCAGCAGCTTGGGAGGATGAGGCAAGAGTATCCAATGGTCAAGGCTAGCCTGGGCAACTTCGAAAGACCCTCTCTCAAAATAAAAAAATAAAAAGGGCTGGGGATGTAGCTCAGCATCCTGGGTTCAATCTCCATTGGGGGGATTCATCACCAATATCATCTTTTAAGTACTGGGAAGGTGTCACATTCACAATTACAGAAACAAGCTTTCCAAAATTCCAATTTTTGCTTAAAAGCTAGTTGTTTTTACTGGCTACAAATACTGCCAGTTGTTTTCTTTTTTCTTTGGGGGCACCAGGATTGAACTCAGGAGCACTCGACCACTGAGCCACATCCTCAGCCCTATTTTGAATTTTACTTAGAGACAGGGTTCTCATTGAATTGCTTAGGGCTTCGCTTTTGCTGAGGCTGGCTTTGAACTCACCATTCTTTTGTCTCAGCCTCTAGAGCCACTGGGATTACAGGTATGAGCCACCACACCTAGCTAGCTGTTTTCTTGAAGTGACAGGGGAGGTTCAACTAATTAGCAAAAAGTTCCTGCTAAATATTCAAACTTGAATATCAACAGTTCATCACCAGTTCTGGTAAAGGAGCTCCATGGGGGAGGCAGGGGGAATAGGTTAAACTGGGTGTGGTAGCACACACCTGTAATCCCAGCAACCTGGGGGAGGCTGAGACAGGATTGCCAAATTCAAGACCAGCCTTAGCAATATAGTGAGGTCCTAAGCAACTTAGCAAGACTGTCTCAAAATAAAAAATTAAAAAGGCTGGGGATGTGGCTCAGTGGTTAAGCACACCTGGGTTCAGTCTCCAGGACCAAAAATTAAATAAACAAAACCACTAGATTAGCTTAGAAGACAAACCAAACAAGTACTCATCCTCAAAAATCACTATTCTACTTTCTATTATCAAAGCATATTAAAAAGACAACCTCATGGGCTGGAGTTGTGGCTCAGTGGTAGAGCACTTGCTTGGCATGTGTGAGGCCCTGGGTTTGATCCTCAGTACCACATATAAATAAATAAACATATAAAATAAAAGACCCATTAGTACACATATAAATAAAAGACCCTCAGTATCACATATAATTACATAAACATAGAAAATAATGTAAAAGACACTTTAAGGATGAAAATTTAATTTTTTTTCTTTGTAGAGCTAGGGAATCAAATCTAGGAGCACTCTACCATTGAGCCCCAGCCCAAATAAACTTTGTGATTTTTGGTACTGAGAATTTAATCCAGACACTGCCACCAAGCTACATACCCAGTCCTTTTTATTATTTTCTTTTAAGTTTTGAGACAGGTAGGGTCTTGCAAAATTGCCAAGGCTGGTCTTGAACTTATGATTCTTTGCCTTAACCTCTAGTGGCAAGCACCTACATGCCCAGCAAATTAACATTTTGTAATGCTTCATCAAGAACCTTCTGAACTGTGTAGTAAAAAAATATGACATGTACAATATGGAGCCACCTCTGCCTTGACTGATCCTAAGGCACTAGCATTACTTTCACATTACTCACCATTACTTTCACACTATCAGTGCAAATGCCAGAAGTAAAAGACATAGTATCTCATTATTATTAAAGATCTTAGGTACCCTCTAAAAGGATCTCAGTGACAACCTCCACTTCAGGCATGCACAAATAGCACTCAAGAAACACTGCTATAAGTATAGTTACTAACCAGAAGATCCCAGTTCTACCTTTTATGGCTACATGAAACTACCCTAATTCCCTTTCTTGTGACAGCTTCCACAATGTTTGGGAGAAAATCTCTGGTCTCCCCTTTAGCAAGACTTAAATGTCTTTTCCAGTAATTTCAATATTCTTTGTGGCATGAATGCTTGGTCATTGATGTTGATTACTCTCCTTTATGTCCTTTTATTTAAAGTATGATAGCCACAACTCAAGTGATTTCTCTTTTACATTTATACAGGGACTATATTAATCTTCTCTATATTATTCTAGTTTTCATATACTCATTTTGCTGAAGTGAAAATTTAATAGAAACTTATACCTTCCTTCCTCAAAGAATGTTAGAAAAAAAGCAAGTGCATTTAGATTTACTTGAAATTGCTCCATGAAACCATTTTCTTTAGAGTATACATTTCCTCCATCTTTATTACTGACATGATTATCAAAAAATAGGAGTCCATTTTCAAAAATAGCAATGAACTGTAAGCTAACACTAAATCATCACGACATCATTTGAACATTTATCTGAATTCCTTCTAAACTGAAAAACTGCCACAAAAAAATCTTGTTTGATCTGGGCTCCCCCCAGGGCATCTTTTTCCAATTCCATGATAATATGAATCAACAGAAACCTCACCAATTTTAAATATTTGCTAAAAAAGTATTCTAATTAGAAAAATAATCTGAGAGGTCTCTAAACAAAATATCAGGGGTGAGTGAGTGAGGCTGGGGCACAAGAGGGAGTCAGAAGATACTTTTTTCAAATAATTATGTAAAATGCGATAGATGTCATTAAAGGCATGTGTCAAAATTAAAGTCTCACCTTTAAAGACACACAAATATTTACTTAACTTTTACATATATATATATATATATATAAATTTCTTTTTTCTAGTTATAAATTATTTGCAAAAACGAAATTGTTCCTACTTTCACAAAGTTAAACTGACTTAACACTGGGTGCCTAGAAACCATAAAATCTTTACCTTGAATTTGATTTAAACAAAACGTCAACTGTCAATGACACGCTTCATTTGGAATGCAAAGATGAAGAAAACTCAGCCTTTCGTCCCTTTTAAAAGGGGCACTCTAAACACCTCAAAACTGGAAGGAATGCAAGTCTCAAAGTGGAGGCCTCTACACTGCTGAATATAAGCAGAGTAAAGGCTCTAATCTACTTTTTGATCCCAGAAACAAGTTTCCAAACTGCATCTTGTTCTTAGGAGGAAAAAAAGAGGGAGAGAAAACTTTTTTAAAACCTCGTAGGACTACGTAAGTACCCGCTGTAGGACTAGCGGATCAGAAGGGGTCAGGGAACGAGCTCTCTAAAATAAGGGTGCAATCGGGGGCGAAGAGGAGCGTCCGTGGGCATCGAGGGCGAAGGACGCCGAAGGGAATCCCGTGACCCACCCGGACGAGACCGAGCACACGCACCCGGGGCGCCCTGTCCCGGAGCACCGGGAGGCCGCGGCGGGGCCGCAGGAGCGGGCCTGGAAGCTCAGACCCGGTCTCACCCGCGCTCAGGCAGGTTTGCACAAGGGAAGCGGAAGTGGGTAACTCAGTCGCACGACAGGGGCGCCCAGAGAACGGGAAGAACGGAGGGGCCCGACAGAGGCTGACGCGCCGGCGGCGGCGAGAGCGAGGAGGCGCGAGCGCAGCGCCCATGAGGAGCGGG